TTTGATTGACGCCATATACTGACCCAAGTTTCAAAAAGTTTCTAATCATCTTTTTAGATCGTCCAAATTTTAGTCCAATTTCTCTATTAGATAACCCGGAATCCTTATATGCTTTAATTAAACCTTTTTCATGGTCATTTAAAAATTTTCCATGTGCCATTTCACTAAAAATATGAAACATTGAATTTTAAATTTGTGAAAAATATTTTTATAAGTCAATTATGAAATTACTTACAATTTAAATTCATTTTTTCAACACCAAAACTAAAAATTATATCTCAAATTTAATAAAACAGAACTGCGTCTATACAAATTTCGCACTCAAATAAATCAAATCACTAAATTTTTATTTTAAGAAATTATAAAAACAATGATATCAATATCTTTTAATTATCAATTAACAAACAATGGTATAAATATATCACATACAGAAATTTCTTCATAAAACGTTTAATTAAGTCTCTATAGTGAAAAATCTGATAAAAATTGTGTGCGGCTAAGAAAATTTCGTTCACTGTACTTGGAAGTTCATAATCTTCCCTTAACCTTTTATATAACGATTTCGAAATTGCAAAGTATTCAAATGTTCTTACAATAGTTTCTGTACTGTACTTTTTTTTCCCAAAAGTAATTGGGCTCATGTCACTGATGTGTTGTAAAAGATTAATAAGTTTAATGCTTTTTGTTTGGTTATTTATAAAATTTATAGCTTCTTGTAACTTCGAGGAAGAATTTAATATGAAAATCTTGTTTTCAGATAGAGATGCAATTGTATGCTTAATTCCACAAAAGTATCCCTCGAATGAAAGATCATTTTTTATTTTGAGCATAAATCTGGCAATGGAGTGTTTTCTTCAAAGTCTGTTGATTGAATTATTAGCAAATGTTCACCAGTAAAAACTGATGGAGGATCACGTGGCCTTTTATGACCAAACTTTATAACTGTAGGATATCCCAATGGAAAGTGTCTTTCGCACACAACTGTATCTGGACTTTCAGGTAGACTATCTCGTGGAATAACATTTATCCAACGATTATATTCTTCTTTATCAGAAAGAAGACGGAAAACCTTTTCTTTATTTTTTTTGTTGTAATTACCATTACAGTTTGTAATGCCTTTTTTAGGCATTTTTTTTGTCTGAAAACTAGATAACAATTGTACTATACTAAAAAAACTTTGTTGTCGCTTGCAGTTATCGAAGATAGTTTTGAAGTTCAATGGCCCCCAGCTCCAGGCTCCGATTTACGCGTTTACGAGGCCTGTTAGTACAGAGAATGCCATGGTTTTGGATAAATATTGTATTGAACTGAAGTTCATCTGTATCTAGCGTTAGTTTGGATTAGGGTTAATAAAAACTGTATTAAACGAATACTTCACTTGTATCCGGCGTGTTTTTTGTTGATAGTTGTCGATCGATCAGGGTTAAAAAGTCATGGTTGCAAAAATGGTTTAAAAAAACTGTGTCAGACGGATACTTCACTTGTATCCAGCGTTCACAATTTGATGGTTGCAGGGTTAGGGTTAAAAAATAATATTTGCAAATTAGAATTTATAAAAACTGTATCAGGTAGGTACGTGTGTAAAAATTTCAAACCATTTATTTATATAAGTATTATATTTGGTTCGAAAGAGCTTTAAATTTATATTAAAGTAGTGAAAATTTTATGCCCATTTGAAATAGTGAAAAAGTTATGCCCATTTATGTAACATTATTTGTTATGAAGGGTTGCTTAAGAAAAATGCAACCAACGTTTAAAAGTAGCGTTCGGCTAAAGGTGTTTTCGTAGTAGAACTTGATTGTTAATTTGCGCATGATTTTGCTTAGTGAAATGTGCAAAATGATTTAATAAGGTATTTAAAAAGTTTTAAATTGAAATAAAAAAAATATTTTTAATGATTAAAACCTAACAATAAATAAAAAATAAATAGTAAAAAATAAATCATTACCAACAATTTGATATTTATTTACTTTCTCTAATAAAATATATATTTATTTATACAGAAAGCAACCCGTACTACGGGTTAGTAGTAAATAAATCATTACGAACAATTTAATCTTTATTTACTTTCTCTAATAAAATATAAATTTATTTATACATTTTTTAAGTTGAGCTCATTTTTATTTTTCTTGGCTTCTTAGTTTAAGAGAACTCTTAGCTTCATTAAAGATAAAGTTAACCATTTCTTTTGCAATGTTCAGACATTGAATGCGCAAATCACAACCATGTAGAAGTTAAAAATGACTTGAATTATATGCACAGAACATCGATGTCAAATTTTCAAATTCCGTAAAATTGTTTAGGTAAATATTGGGAATATATTCTACTCTTAATTTTCCTTTAAGCTGAGTCGCTTCTTTTTTTTTTTTTGAACTTTTCATTTTACTGAGTGAAGAGCTTAAAAATATGTCACTATCGCACCTAAACTTTTCAATGTTATTAATATACTTTTTAAATATTTTTAAAACATCTAAAATAGGGCTTAGCCCTGCATACGGATCATATATTATTATGATAAAGATTATTATTAAACCAACCTTTTTTTAATTAGTAATCCAGCAGAAACCTGTTTATAAAAAAACAATAAAGGAATATACGGATTTACTTTATTAGCTAACGTGTATCAACATATTTATTTCAGCATACATCCAGTCCATATTTATACTAATTTTATAAAATGTCCGGAATACATTTTGCCCTAACTTAGCGTTAAATTATTAGTTTTATTTCATTAATTTTTGTATAGATCAGGTTAATAATAAAAGCAATTGGATTTTACTTAATATTTTTGAAGTAATTATTCAGCTTTAATAAAACTGATTAAATCATATGAGACAGTTAAAAAATATATTTAAGGGGTATGCCCCCTGTTAAACCTAAAATGACCACTTGGTTTTGCATGCAATGGAACGATATATTTTATAGTAGATTCTACAAAATTAGTGCAAAATTATTTTTAAAAAATTTAAAAAAATTATTGCAGTCGTCCATAATGGCTGCAATTCAAAAAAAAGTCAACTTTTTTAGCAATTGATAACTTAAGAACTTTTAAATATATCTAAATAATACTTTGACACAAGATTCTTTCAAGTAAGATCTACAACTTAAACTAAAAAAAAATTTTTGCCTTGATTGCCCATAGTATTTGATAAAAATACTTTAAAATAGGGACAATATAAAATATAAAATATTTCTTGATTTCAAAGACCTAACTTTCAAATGCTTTTAGTTTAAGTTGCAAGTACAAGTCATAAGAATATACCCTGAAAATTTCACCACTTAGCATTTATAGGTTAAGAGATATGATTTGCTAAAGTTCGCTCATCGAAAAAAACTATTAATTTGAGAAAAAGAACTTTTAAGTTCAAAATTGTGTATAAATCACTTTAGCTTTAAATGTAACATAAAAAACAATAATATAAATATTTGTGTATTAAGAAACATTTACACAAAAGCTCCAGGCTCATAAGTAGTCCCTTCTTTTTGAATATTTTTGTCATCAGATGACTTTTTCTTCCCGCGAATTATCTTTCTACGAAGTTTAACTTTGTCAGTATTTTTATATTGCGCTTGACGCAGTCTGCAATTGTTAATAGTGATGCATCCTTTTGTTGTATAATTGCCAGGAATCAAGTTCAATACTTCCATAATTTGCAAGGATGCTTTGCTACCAATATTAAAACTAGCCACAGCATCAAAAACTCCAAACTTTAGCTTTTCAAAACCAACAAAACGAATTTTAGGGACACGCTCCCAAATCATTGCATTGAAAGACTCGTTGGCATTCTGTGTAAATCCATGGAGACACATCGATAATAGGCTGTCTTCACTTAAATCTTTGTAAATAGGTTTTACATGAGCAACTACAGACAAAGGCAATCCAACATCTGGTTTATACATTGTTGTTTTGTTTATTTTATCCCGCTGAAACAAGCACCAGCTATTTTATACTTTTGGACAATGATCGTGCCACTGGTTTGTTTTGGATGATGCTACATGGAACAGGCTAGCAAAAATTGCTTTTTTCATACCTACTAAGTCACCTACATTTTGCCTAATGGCAATACCATAATAGTTTTGCAAACGATCTATCATATTCAATGTTAATTTGCCTTTACCACTATTAGCTTTAACCTTTTTGCATAGTTTGCGAAGTTGGTTACCTACTCTTTTCTGAATGTGGCCAACACAGTGCAGACGCTCAACTTTCATATTTTCTCCATAAACATTTTCAATTAATTTATGAGATTTGCTGTCTCCATCGCCATAAAATTTTGTGTATTTGAGACCATGTTTTGCTATTGATCGCTCAAATATATTCTTAGTACCTTCAGGCTCCATAGCAGGCGCTGAACCACGATAATTATTGATACAGACATGAGTGGCTTCCCAGGAATCATATTTAACATGATCAGTTCCTTTGATTTTCTCATAGAACTCACATGACCTGCAGGTTTTAGAAATAACTTCAACATCTAATATTTTTCCAGAATCAACAGATATGGCAGTGATAACACCGTTGAGCGAAGAGTAGCCTCTATGTTGCCATGATCCATCATTTGATACTCCAATTTCCGTACCAACCTGAGACTTTACTTCTTTAGCTGCAGCTGTCATTGACTTTTCAGCAACAGTTTCACATGCATGTCCACAAATTTTGGAAAGTTTATCGTAATTATTTCTTGTCATTGGTTTAGGCATATTCATCATTGTTGTAAATCAGTGGTTCCCAACCGGTGGTCCATGGACCCCTGGGGGTCCATAAGAACTTTTTAAGCGGACCACAAGATAAACGTAAATTCTAAATATTTTTTGGTAGTGAAACTTAATTTTGATTATTTTTTTCTGTTGAAAGAAACAAATTAAATTTTAAATTAAAAATGTAATTTATGCGAGAAAGCTGTTACACAAAATTTGCGTTAACAAATTCGACGAGGACTTGCGGACCTCTACGAAGTAATAAATGCTATATAATATCATTTTTTATCCGTAAATTTAAAATGTTAAAATCTTATCTCATGGTAAAGATAACCTTACTGATTTGTTTGAAAGAACGTAATTTGTGTTATTTTCTATAAAAATTCGATACTATACTACTCTTATCTATAGATGCTTTTTATATTATTTTTTAAATACTTTAGATGTCTAAAAGTAAAAAAAGGTCATACTTAGATAAAGAAACCATTAGCTACCCACAGTGTGTTATTTGTTATAAAGTACTAGGAAATGACTCTATGAAACCTTCAAAGCTTGCTATTCACTTGAATAAGTGCCATCCTGATCTCCAAACAAAAGATACTGATTTTTTCAAAAGAAAATTTGAATCACTGAAGAGATGCAAATTGGATAAAACTGGGATTATTTACCAAACTCAACAGAATATAGTAGAAGCATCCTATAAGGTTTCATATATAATAGCACAGAACAAAAAAGCTCACACATTGGCTGAAGAAGTTATACTTCCATGTACAAAAGAAATCGTTAGATTATTATTTTGAGAAGAAGCTGCAAAGAAGGTAGATAATATATCTTTATCAAATACTACAGTCAAACGAAGGCTAACGGATATTTCATCAAACATTAAAGAAAATGTTATTAATGAAATTGAAGAATCCCCATATTTTTCTATTCAGTTGGATGAGTCCACAGATGTAAGTTCAATGGCACAACTAATTGTTTATTGTAGGTATATTCACAATAACAAATTTAAAGAAGAATTTTTGTTTTCTTCTTGCCTTGAAACAACAACAAAAGCAGCTAATATTATGGAAATTTTAAAACAGTTTTTCAATGACAATCAATTACAATGGAAATATTTGTTTGGAATTACTACTGATGGAGCTCCTGCCATGATGGGTTGTAAGTCTGGATTACAGACTAGGGTGAAAGAGATTGCTCCAAATGTAGTTGGTGTACACTGTTTTATTCATAGACAGGCTTTGGCAACCAAAACTTTACCAGGTAGTTTGAAAACTGTATTTAATCAATTAGTCAAGTTGGTCAATTATATAAAATCTTCTGCTCTTAACACTCGCCTTTTTACAAAATTTTGCTCTGACCTAAATGCTGAACACAATAAGTTATTGTTTTATACTTCTGTGCGATGGCTATCTGCTGGAAATTTTTCGAAAGATTTTTCATGCTTAGAAATGAAGTGAAAGAATTTTTATGTCAAATGAAAAGTGGACTGGTAGAATATTTTGAATTTGATAATTTTGAAATAACAACTGCTTATCTTGTGGACATCGTAGCTCATTTTAACAAGTTAAATTTGCAACTTCAAGGCAAAAATGCTAATGTTATTACACATTCAGATAAACTGAAGGCATTTATTGAAAAGCTCAAACTGTACAAGACTAGAATTAATAATGGAAACTTGATCATGTTTCAAAATTTAAATAACATAATTGGAGTTAACATGCTTCCTGAAGTTATAAAGACAGAAATAGTTTGTCACCTAGATAATTTGATTACTGAATTTGGTAACTATTTTCCAGATATGAATCTTTTGAGCAGTGAAGTTATTATATCACCATTTTCTTGTGATGTGAAAAATGTGAAAGAGGAAGCACAAGAAGAGTTTATAGAGTTAAAGAATGATACCACGGCTAAGGATCACTTCAAAGTAGCACCATTAAATAACTTCTGGTTGAAAATGAGGAATTCATATCCATTGTGTTCATCAATTGCACTTAAAGCCCTTATTCCTTTTTCAACATCATATTTGTGTGAAGCCGGGTTTTCAGCAATGCTATCTCTAAAAACAAAAAAAAGAAATAGACTTAATATTGATGCAGATATTAGATGTGCTCTATCAAAAACTTAACCAAATTTTCAGATATTAATTGCTAGTAAGCAGTGTTAGAATACACACTGATCTGTTCTTGTATCATACATAAACTAAGATAAAAAAATTTTGTGTCATTGATAAATATTGATTTTGTGTCTAGTCTATTCAAAAATACCTTAAATAAAATATTATCCTTATGAATAAAAGTTACATTATTAAAATGTTCACCTTGTAATAATTTTTAAAATCAAAGGGGTCCATGAAGATTTTAGGATATTTAATTTGGGGAACGTGTTAGAAAAGGTTGGGAACCACTGTTTTAAATCGTTGCAGATTAGAATAGCCTGAACCAATAGTGCGCATTGCATATGTTATGCGTAAGTTTACATCATATCCATTCTTTCTACACACTGGGGATGTATAAAAAGATAAACTATAACTACATTTACATGATACACTCATTGATGAAGCTAATCCTTTCTTTTTGGCAAAGTTTTCGGCCAACAATAACTTCCCATTTTGACATTCTGGGCAGCGCAATTTACTAAAAACTTCAGCTAAAATAGAAACATCAACAAATCGGTATCCTTCAACTGTTTCACTTAGAGGTTGTGTGAAATCAATCTGCTCAACTTTTTTCTTTGATACAAAGACAGAGCAAGAAAGAGCAGGATTTTCTTGATTAGTAGAACTAGAGCATGGAGCTGCACTAGCGTTTTGTTGTTGGTCAGAGAGACTCTCAATGATTGTTTCATTTGATATTGTATGCTTGTTCCCATAGAATCTTCTTTTAAGAGAATATAATCGTTTAGTATTTTGCTTTGCTCTCTTTCCCATAGCAATAACTTATTTATAATAGTCTTACTTTTTTTTTTAAATCTTAAATCTTCTACAATCGACCCAACAATGTGGTATTTTTTTGTTTATAATAAACACAAGTCTACCATTTTTATATAGATTTTCAAGTAGTGAAGCAAATGAGGTTGATTATTGTCGTAAAAGTTCTTTAATTTAGGACTATATTAAAGTCTAGATATATATTGGTTAGTGAACAATTTTTTATCTGATTTTATGCGATGAACAAAATTCAATTTTTGAGACAAAATTGCTAACATTTAGGTTTTAAACCATCTAAATTCGGATTCTACGTTAAATTTTGATATAAAAACAACACTATTATTTTTTTGAAATATTTTTACAAAATATCTTAAATTATTGGGGGGCATACCCCTTAAACCTTTGTTCACTTTTTGAAAATCCATAAAAAAAGCAAGTATCAAGTTTACATATCTTTAAAAGAAATTTAATTACATGATATATAGTTAAATATGTTACAAAAATATTTTAAAACAGAAGCATATATAAAATACATTTTTCTTAAAAAAACAAAGTTAAAGCCACCATTTACAACACCGAGGAGCCAAGCATAGCCTATTGTAAAGAAAACCATATCAAATAATTTAAAATATTTATTACCGATAGGGACGACAATTACACATTTTTAAAAAGCTACGTGATTCCATATTAGTAGGATTGTTATAGAAAAGTATATTTAAAAAATTCATTTAAAAAAAAAGTGTATTAAATAGAAAACAAATTTTTCAAAATTACCTAATTTTGTAAGCATTTTTCCAATGGTGTTCCATTTTGAAACCAGTATCTTTAATGGAAAGCTGACTTGTTAAACTAATCTCATTCAAAGAATAAAATTATTAACACTTAAAGATAAAGAAAAAAAAATGAATGAGATATAAACAATCGTACTATAGTATTATATAGATAAGTAAATATATATAAAAAAAAACAACAACTGGAAAACAGTATACCTGCTTTTGGTAACCTATTGTGATACTGCAGCAGTTGCCCTACAGCAACTGCTGCAGTATCATATGCAGCTGTTCTTTTTGGTGTTGTTCAAAAACGTAATTTTTATGTTGGCTTTTAGGAAACTTTAGTTTAATTTAAAAGACATCAAAACTGATTTAAAATACTCATAATAAAAAAAGCAAAACATAAAATGCTTCAAGGAGCCAAACTTTAAACATGAAGAATCGAATCGAGTTAAATAAATTGTATTTATATAGCTAAATATATTGCCTTGGGTTTTGGTAAATTTTAAAAGCAGTGAGTTCAATAAATGAAACATACCAAATAATTGTTTTTTAACATAAGAATGCAGCATCATTATATTATGATAATTGGATAAAGAATCAATTCAACTTTCGACTTTAGATTTTAGGGAGGGGTATTTAAGAGGGCTTTAAATTTGAAGTCAGGTTTAATTGGTGAGAAAACAATTAAAATTTTCACTAAAAAAGATCAAAACAAATCAGATATACAACATAATATATTTAAAAAAAAATAACAAAATTAAAAAAAAAAAATTACAAAATTAAAAAAAAAAAACACCGAAGAAAAAGCAGCAACCAAAAAGTCATAAATATCTCTACTGATAGAAGACATTTACAACCTTTTGGTTGCTGTTTTTTCTTCGGGTATCCCAACACCCCGGTAGAGATGAGTCCTCCGTTTAAAGGAGGGCGCATCCATTCCGCCATTATCTCTCCATTTGTTGAAGGACCTCTCTGAGAGATGTCCCGGGTGTTGGGAGCTGTACTTTTTATGTTCTTCGAATGATAAGGAATCTAAAGTTACAAATAAAAGAACAGAATAAAAATTACACATTTCCAATTATTTGAACAAAAAATTAGCATAACCTCACCATTTTCATTCGAAACAGAAGATGCTAAAAAAAAAAAGAGATAGCAAATTAAAAAGGGTTGAACATGCAACATTTTGTATTTTAATAATTATATAGGGCAATAATGCAACCAGTTCAAAAGTGTCATTTATTAATTAATTTTTCCACCCATCGCACATATTTCTCCATACAAAACATATAAAATATAAAACACAGCCCTACCAGCTATACTTCCACCAGACACTAAAGACAAATATATAGTTAAATAAATATAAAATAATCGATAAAATAATGTTAACATATAAATATATACATATCTAAATAAATTTTTTACCCATCCCCCTCATTTCATCCATAAAGTTGTCTAAAGTAAGAAAAAAATAACTAAAGCTAAAAACAAAACTATAAACTAAAGTAAACTTTAAATCTTCTAAATAATAATGCTTTATTTATTAAACTAAACTAATCATAATTTAAACTTAGTTTTTGTTCCAACTCCCCTAAAAGGAAGTATAAAATAAAGCTAAAGAACTTGATTTTTTAAAATTCCAGTGGCAGTACTAATAAACAAATTCCTATTAACAAATATCTAATAGCAAAAACACTGACTTATTTCCTTCTTTACTTCTGTATCTAAACAATAAAAGCACTTTAATGTTTAGACGTTAAAATATCGAGAAAATACATATTAAATGCCACATTCAACTAACTAATGTGATTAATACCTTTATTAGATCTCTCTTGATTAACAAAAGAATTTAAAGTTTAAATAAATTCTAACTAAATTTTAACAAACAAACAACCAAAATAAATCTTCACTTTAATAGTACGTTATTAAGTTATTTAAATAGATCAAACAATTTAATCTACTCTAATAATCTACTACCTTATTAATAAACTTTAATTATTTTTCTACGACTCAGTGTAACTAATAATATATAAAAATATAATTTTTAAAGTAAAAAAGAATTTAATATTATAATATATTTGATTTTAAAAACCTGAAATTTTAAATCTACCTCGAAGAAAACAGATATATATTGAAAAGTACTTTTATTTCTTTATAAAAATTTAAAAATGCCTTATTACTTACTTGTTTCAATATTATTACCAAGATTACTATTTTTCTCCGTCCGTTTCGTAACGGCCCGTTAACAATTTTTTTTCACTCGAACTCTTCGTTAATTTAACGGAGAGACGTGAATACGACTATTAAGAGAACTCTTAGCTTCATTAAAGATAAAGTTAACCATTTAATTTTAACAAACAAACAACCAGTATATCTCGATCGAGCATATTTCTTTCATTTTGGTGATGATTAACATTATCTCGATCGAGTCTATTTCTTTCATTTTGGCGACGATTAACATTATCTTGATCGAGGTTATTTCTTTCATTTTGGCGACGATTAACATTATCTCGATCGAGCCTATTTCTTTCATTTTGGCGACGATTAACATTATCTCGATCGAGCCTATTTCTTTCGTTTTGGCGACTGTTAACGTTTTCTCGATTAAGCCTTTTTCTTTCATTTTGTAAATGATTAATTTCATCTCGCCTAAGTCTATTTCTTTCATTTCGTCTACGACTATTTTCAACACGCCTTATAGCACTTACACAATTTTGTAAATACATAACTTCATCTAGCCTATCATTAATTTCAATGTCATCATTTTGATTAAACATATTTATCAAAGCAACACTAATTATTTCTTTTTTTTACTACTCTAAAGTTAACAATAAAATAAAAAAAACTTAATAAGAAACTAAAATAATCTTACTCAAAAAATTAAAAAAATTCTCAAAACAAATATATAAAGAATCCAAACTAATGCAAAACAAAATTAGTTTGCCATCATCAAAAGTAATACAGGTTTCTTAAGTTTATTTGATAAAAGTTAAGAAAAACCTGCAACCATATTAGCAAAAACTTAATACAAAAAGTTAATATTTATTCTGTTTCTAATAAAGAAAAAAAAATTTAGAAACAAACAACATATCTTCGCAGACAGCGTCATTAGGCATGCGTTGGGAGAAAACATTGAACAAAACGGGTAATAAAACATTTTAACGCGTTATGTACAATAGAAAACGGGTTATTAACGCAGGTTTATAAATATTTTTCACCCAACACACTATTACGCTGCCGCAACTCCATGGATATACATAGTTATAATATATATATATATATATATATATATATATATATATATATATATATATATATATATATATATATATATATATATATATATATATATATATATATATATAAGTTTTCTAATGATCTAAATCTTTATAAATTAGATATTTTATTTTATATCTTAATCTTAAA